TCTGGTTTGACATTCGGAAGCAACTGTCGACAAGAGCCGCGTGTTCGGTGCGTAGTCCTCCTCAGCCCGCGATTTCGAGGAGGACTGCGGGAACCATAAATTGGCTGATATTGTCCCATCGACACCGTCTTCTCCACTACACTATCAAATGTCGCATGGTCGTCGACGTGACTACTCACGTTTAAATTATCCATGCGGAAATGTGATCTCTTGTGGATCTACGTATCGCTTTAGATACCTAAGGATAATGTGGTGTGCGTTTTCGTGTATGGTGGATGAGTGATCCGATACTTGAGGTCTCCGACTTCCTCTATCACATTAAAAGGCCCGACAAATCGTGTCGATAGTTTGGTAGTACCACCAGGTAGTACTATAACTGCATAATTAGGTTCAGGTTTAGTGCCAAATGATACTTTGTCTCCTACACTAAATTGTTTATCATTTGTGTGATTGATTGGTCTGCAAATGGTTTTAGCTAGTCCTGTGCGTTTGCTACAGCCTTGCAGACCTAACGGGTGATGACTAATAGCTCATTTACAACGATATGAGCCTTTTTAACTATTTTAGCACCTAGCTTGGCAATTACACACTAAAGAGGTCAGCCATGGGTTGTTGCTGCTTATGCCAATGCATCTTCGCTCCTTTAGAGTATAGAAACTGTGTGTCGTGACTCCGACTTTACACTCTCTTGTGTAGTGACCACTGCAGCACTGAGAAAGGTCCCTAGAGCTATTATCCATCTCGGATAATATTGGTAGAACGTTGTCGTGCTAGACAATATTACTATCGACACCGTTTGGTGTCAATTCCATGTAACGTGCTACCCCGTTATACAGGGACTTACCTGAAGAGTATACGCTTCACTAGGACGTGGAAAATTCTGCTCTACATTTAGTTATCCGTTCTTTTTACTGGTAAAGAGCCTATCGGTGGCTTTCGTCCATTCCCCAATATATCTCATGCAATCACCTAGTGAATGTCGAACCGTCAAGATTCCAGTTGATTTGCTGCGTTCAAGCTTGTCGAGTTGAAAAGCAACGACCTTGAGCCCGACGATCTTAAACATGATGAAATTGGAATCAACGAGACTTTACGCGACGAGCCTTCACTAAACGAGTCTCCGCTAGATGAGACAAGACGTAATCAAAATTACTTGACAAGTCTTCACTCGACGAGATTTGACTCGACGAGCCTCACGCAAGAATCTTGCCTCGTTTAAACTTGAATCGTTGAGTCTAAACTCGTCGAGACTTGCTGGACGTGACCTTCATGTCAGTTCCGTCCCACTGTCTCGTCGAGTTCCGACCTCTATGATGTGGAAATAGTAGAGAATGCCACTTCCAAATTTTCCGTTACCACACTTCGGAGCATACAAAGCTCAAAGATATCTGTCGATGGTGCCTTCGAATTTATCCTGCCTGTCGGAATTGTAAGCCTGGTACATCACAGTATATATACCTTATAATATCGCACTCTTTTACAATATCCTCTTCAAAGAAGACGATTGGCGAAGTGCCGAGTGGAAATAGTCCTCACGGCAAAAACTATCGCAGCACTGCGAAGCAGTAGCTTTGAATTTTGAATGGTGAAAAGTAAATAGACTAAATTGTTATTTAGCTATATGAGACGAGAGGTTCGGCCATATGCACGTGACTCTTTTAGTTGTTTAGGATACGAAGTACTATTTGTTAGCCTCTCGAAGGTCAAAGTCTAGATACTTCCAAGGAAAATAATCTGATACGTCTTCAAACTTTTGCACTGGCGTAGAGAAATACAATTCAGGTTGTTGTAATAAATGCGGTAATGGTGTGGAAGTCAGCAGGGATTATGTGATGTAGGCCGCCAAATGCAAAATATACGAGTGGTGCCAGGTTGCGAAATTGTCTTACTCAAATTCCTACGTAAACTGGTGGATACGTGGTTTAGAAGACATGGGTTGGATACGTACTAATGCAAGCAGTGGGCGGTATGTTCTATCGTGCTTTAAACACACATTATTGCAAGCTACGTATCATCGGATGTTGCACAAGACCTCACCGAAAGCGGTCATTTTTCTATGCAAGAATGCTATTTTGTGATGGCGCTCCCCAAAGCAGACAAAACACTTCCGACATTATCAGTACATTAATAGCTCCTGCCGATTTGCATCCGACAGTATTTCCATCATAACGAAAATGCTAATGCAGTTTTCAAGCTGCGCATAATTGCGAGCCTAAAGGGTCAAGCTTTTAGTGACTGTGCGCAAGGTTAAATGCCGAGCTTTGAATCGTACTTATCTGTGTGTGTCTGTGTCTCTCTGTAAATGACGCGGTTAGGTGTACCTTACACGTACTTAGTGCGGTCAAGGGCGTCCCCTTCTCATGGGTATATGTATATTTAAAGTTATTCGTTGGCCCGGTCAGAATTTTGACGCACGCATGTGATTGGCTCATAATCGATCAAAGGTGAATGTAATCATGTAAGCGAAACACTGGACGCTGATAAGCAAAGGGTGATCGTGTTACTTGAGTAAACTTCGAGATTCATTTCGACATCGACGGTATCACGCTCATTTTTCAGTTACTGCTGCTTTGTTTAGTGTTTTGCAACTTGATTCAGGTCTGTGCACTAAATTTCTTATACCATGGGGCAAGCTCCAGAGCTTGATCCCCTATCTGATAACGAAGGCCATGCTGGTACTTGTGCAGCAAATTTCTATGGTCGAGCATACGTAAAAATGCACTGCGTGATTTTTAAACACCCAAGCAAAGTGTGAGAAGGTGTATCAAGCTTCAAAATAGCGAGCTTTGTTTTGTGTAATTTAAATTTCTTCTAGTTCAACACATTCTTTTGTGGTCATTTTTTTCTCTACAGATCATACTAGAAGCCACTTCAGAGCTGCACTGTCACCAAGCAGCTCAGACGAAATTGTTTGCTGTTCGACCTGCTCGACAAGACTGAGCTCAGATGAATACTACAAGTCTACCTAAGAAATGACGCAAAGAAGGGTGAATCGACGATGTGGCCCTTTGCGCCTTTTTTGCTGCCTTGAAACTACACACTTGACGACGTGTCAGTGCATCGGTTCCTGAGCACCTACCGCCAGTGCTTTGACGATGGTTGCATCGTTGCTATCCACGATTTTTCAATGCTTTGATATTCAAGTGGACGAGAACTACGTCAGATACATAAGCTAGACGTTGATGAAGACACTGTTGTTTCCAGTGAATGAGAGAGGATTAGAGACTATCTATTTCTAGTACTTAGGACTATACTTTAATGTCTACATAAAATTTGCCCGGTCTTCTACCGTGACTACATCGTTCTTCTCCGCGCTGGCTATTCTCTGCTGGATCGACACATCGGAAGGCACGAAAGGCCCTCTGAGAAGGGCAGTGTGACCAGCAACAAAGGTGGAGGTGCATGTAGGGTGCAGGGGACACCCGCAAGGAAGGTCAATGTCTACTTCGAACAGTCCCAAGGGGACATCTTTACTCGTCCTTAGCTTGTACCTCTCGAGCTGGGCCGACCGGACAGCATCATGCTCTTAGCGATTGTCTTCACGTTGTTATGGTTCTAACAAATAAGTGCGCCGCGCCTTTGCAACGTGATCCTGCTCTTCCGGGCCGTCTGTTGAAGTACGAGTGTGAGTAACTGTATCCGACTCGATTTCCCCCCAGCTGCCAATTTCGACCGCTACTACTGAACTTGAGGTTCGGGTAGTTTTGATCGAGCGTAATCCGATCACGTATTCCACCCACACTTGTTCCAGATCGACAGCCGTGCTACATCTAATTCTAGTTTCCAGACATCACACCCACACCTTCTTCTCTCCCCTGCTCTTCATAATGACGTCTGCACGTAAACTCGAGTACAGCTTGTTCTAGCCAGGCTGCTTGGCAACTTCTCAGCACCCTTCGGCCAAAAAACAGCGCTCGTCACGGTAGATAGTTTCAAAGATTATTCTTTCTAGTTCAGACTGAGCTCAAAGGAGCTTCTGCTGACTGTTTCAGCTCGGCCGGACCGCTGGTCATTACAGGGCCTTCCTCACAGAGCACTTCACTACAGGTGAACTAGTAGTAGCTCTCACAGATCGTTTCCGAACACTGCAACACCTTCCGAACAAGCCCATAGAGTACAGTCCGCATGCAGACGATCCGTTGTCACCTCAAGACGACGCCACCCCGTGTCTGTCGACATCCGCGAAAAAGAAATGGCAGTGGACAACCGCATTAGTGCCAAAATCCATTAAAAACGTAGACAAGAGCGAATGGACATCTGGATCAAGATTACAAATATCCTCACCGCAAGTCGAACGACAAGGGGTGGGCCTGAAAGGCAGAGGGGGGGGAGTTGAGGGGAGAAGAGGCCGATTGAAAGGTCTTCTCGAGTCTGTTTTGCAACGGCTGAAGCTTTTGAGTTCAGCGCTAAGCTGGATGCGGACACTTCCACACCGCAACGAGGCAGTTCAAAGTCCAGCCACATCTGTCGTACCCCCCCACCACGATCCCGCGACAGTATCCACTTACACATGTTACGTGCGACGCGTGCACACCTCAATGCAGCAGCCTCGGCGGTCTATTCTACCTTGATCACTTGTGTAAAGGACAGTCCTGACAGCCCGTGGCCGTGTATTTTCAGATTAGCAAATGGTCTCCAATCCAGTTCATGTCTTCCCACCGTTAGTACGGCCGGGCAAGCTCGCTTTTACCAACATCCAAGTCCCATCCTGTCTCCTTGTCTCCTTCCTAGAAATCTGTCGACGTTCGTGCTGTCGTGCCCTGGCCTTCTTGTGGCCACGCTCGTCTACACCATCGCAGGCAAGACGAACTCTATACTCGACACAACACGACAAGATTGTCCACGTCGATGGTGAACGACGTGGCACACACGCTCGTCGGAGGTCGTGGTCGAGCCCGAAGCTTTTGTTCACCTTGCACCACCTGCATTCAGTTTCCAATCTCCTCCCTCACCAGAAGATTACCGCACACCAACCACTGAAGTGCCTTTAGTTTTCCACCATGGTGTACACACCCAGCGCCTACCTCGTCACTGCTGCCGTGGCTCTACTGGTCACCCGGATGCAGCAGGCTGCGGCCTCCTCGATGTTCTACGGCGCTGAATCTGCTACCGAAGTAAACGAGCTGAGCAGCGATTTCCCTGGTCGTGGCACGGGCATGCCGGCAGCAGCTTTGGCCTACGTCGTGACCAAGGACCCCACGATGCCAGACATCAAGTCGATCCCGACGGTGCCCACGAAGTTCCCTGAACTGCTGGCAAGCAATCCGTTGAAACCCGCGGACTCAATCACTGCCAAGGTAGGCACGCCCATTCTGTCTCGTACCCGTCTGCCGCTGGACGCCAACCAAGATAGCTACATCGCCGACATTCTGTCGATGCCGGTGACTTTGCCTGCTATTGTCGCTACGACGCCGTTGCTGGACTTGGAGCACAACGCGGTGAATGCTTCAAACTGTGAACCTGGATGGGAGAATAAGCCCAAGCCTGATGCCGAGGGACCGGCGAAGCGCCGCCTTGAGGCATTCGCAGGTGCCAAGGCCCTTGCCAAACTGGAAAAACATTTTGGCAGACCGTTGGAGACGAAGCTCGCGAACCTGCCTGACGAGGGCGCCAAAGAGCGTGCGCCGTGGCCTGGTCCGTACTGGCCCGAGTACCAGGACTGCATCAATGTCGACTATCGAAAAGACGACGTGAGCGCGACCGAGAAATACGCCACGGCTTTCGGTCTGGACGTGATAACCATGATGGACATCATATCGCGCGACCTCGGCATCGAGAGCGCGCCGGTGAGATCTGAGTGCGACGAAGACAGCACTTGCGAGCAACGTCACGGTGCAAATGTTGTTTGCGCTAAGCGTCAAAAGCCAAGCACGAACACTCAGGGCTTATGCACCGCGATGTGGACTGGTATCTGCCATGCCTGGTGTCCTGCTTCAATACTGGAGGAGGAACCGCGATGTGCCGTGACTCACAACGGCGTGGTGTTCTATCCAATCGATATCAAGGCCCTGCTCACGGTCTTTTACGATAACTCCCGAGTGCCCATTGTCTATATTGGCACTCGGTACTACAGGCAACCGGACTCGAAGGACGAGTACGGCCGTCACACGAATGTCGCCTACCGCGACGTCAATCCTGGCATGTTCCACATTGCCACTGCTAACATCGTGGGCATCTATCGCAAGTCGTACGTTGTGGATAAGGAGGCTGGCAGGGAGGTGTGGAGCCAGCCCGTGCGTGGCTACAAGGTCAATAAACAGATTAACTTGACTTTGGAGGAAGCTGCCCAGCACTTCTATGGCCTCGCGAAGTACCCGTGGAATGCTGCTGCCAAGAGCATTGCGTACATCGACATGCGTCTGTCGTGGGTCGATGAGTCGTACGAAGATGGCAGTCTGGTCATGGATGGACGGGTAGACAAGGTCACCTTGGGTGCGGACTACACGTACCTACTTGAGCTGGATGGTGAAGGAAAGATCATTGGTGGCGAGTGGGTGTACGATTCTAACGACATCCATCCCGACTATTTCTGGTTCCCCCAGTCGAAGCCGGCGCTCGACGCGGTCACCAAGTCCGGTTTGAAGTACTCAGATCTGGAGATGCTGTTGGAGAAGTCGATCGCGTGCTCTTCCTTGTAATGACCGTTGGTCCTCGTTCGGAACCGATGGACCAACCCGATTTGTCACCATTTTCTTTTACTTCGGTGTCTGCATCCACCCGGACTTTGGCGTCTGTTTGACATTGGATTTTGAAAGCACATCTGTGCTTTTGCAAGAAATGATGGCAACCGAGACGCTACAGTGCATTCATATTTCACTCTTCAACAAGTGCAGTATAGTAGTGGAGATGTGCTGAGATGCGAATGTGTGTTTTTCACTGCCTCCTCTGCTGGATCTGCTCTTACAGTCGTTTACAAAAGCTCTTAGCGCATGAAGCATGTAGAAACCAAAATAAACAAGCTACGACTTTTGCCAATCTTTGAGGAGTTTAATCGCCGTCGATTTTTACGAACAGCGGTAGTACAATATTGCAATAAAATAGTACGAATCATGCAAGAAGATGCCGTGACCGTAACTGTGTCTGGTGCCCGCTAAAACGGCTACTATTATCGGTATAGATGACGAAGTAATACCGAGAAATACCGATCGATTGGCTATTTTTGTCGGTACAAAGTAAGAAAACAAGTCATTTTGATAAATTCCGTTTTCACACAATTGATAAAGTGTGTCTCTTGGTCCGGCACTGATCAGACACAATGCTGGCCACCTGAGGTTTCGCACTCTCGTCACAGTAGGCATACGGATGCTCTGAAACATCTTGGCCCTTCACATTATGGTATTGACCACCCTAGTATTTACGTCTCTATTCATGTAAAGGAACGTGTGGACTGATAACTTAGTTGAGCTTTTCATTCTGCAATCAGTTCGCTTGTGTGGTAAAAATAACATGGACATCGCTTCAGGCCATTCAGATACTTAAAATCAACATTTGCGTACCTTATAGTGGCGCCTTAGAAAGGTCAGATCTGACTTTCAGTTTATACGTAACAATGTGGGCTAGTGTTGCTAAGGAACGGAAGGTGTATCATGCGATCACCAGACAATGGCTATGCTCTATCTTTCGATATCATTTGTGATATTCACGGTTTCGGTATAGCGGGGTAGTTTGCACAACTTGGGTGAAACCAGTCACGCATGTTATTTCTGTTAGCAAGCCAAAGACAAGTCCTGTGGAAGCTCCCGCAATGTACCATAAACGTTCCTTCTAACCTTCATGAGGGAGCGACGGTATCGGCATGCGATCTACGACGGTGGAGGTGATTCATTTTTTTAGTGAGGCATACAAATGTGTCTCTTAGCCTAACCGGAATCGTGTCATCTTCTGTAACGCTGTTGTCAACATCCTGTGTGAACCGGAAGGCTGATAACAAGTCTATTTGGGAGAGTGACAGTGAATTGAAGCTGTACGAGCGCACTATGAACTGTCTCGAAAAAAGATCTCGCGGATCGATTATGGTGCACGTGCAATGATGTTGCCATATGCGTTGTGTTTGTCAAGACCCGTCGGCCTTGTAGTATGAGAAATTTACAATCGTACAGCAGTCTTAGTGACACTTGCATACACGAAAGATAGACACTGGTGCGGTTGTGAGTCAGTCCATGAATCAAGCGATAATCGCCTGAATTTGGTTCGTCCAGAGTTGATACCGGTCGCTAGCCGTGGTCTGACCTACGCGGACGACAGCATGGATTTTGTAGTTCAGTCATGCCACAGTACGTCAGCTATATCTCGTGATTCGATTATAAATAAACTCAAGCGCTCGAGTCATCGTAACGCTCGAGCTCTGCTTTCAAATTCACCCTAGCCTCGACTTTGGCTTGGTCTACTTTTCAGATCCAGACTATGAGATGTCGAATACTGTACGAGAACTTGCAGTAGCAGATAAGAGATGCAGAATCGAACGCGCTACTTGTGGCCAGACTTGCAGTGTACAGAAGCGAGTAAGATAGAGGAGCAAGCTCTGGAGCTCGCCCTTTGATATAAGTGATCAGTTCATCAGACTGAATCAAGTTGCAAAACGCTATAAAACAGCAGCGTCGCTGAAGAAAGAGTGCGATGCTGTTAATGTCTATAGTAACCCAGTACAAAATGCTAGAGCAACGCGATTATTCTTTGTTTTCATGAGCGTCGAGCATTTGCATGTGTGATCATATTCACCTTTGATTGATATTTAGCCAATCACGTGGGTGTGCCACAATAGTGACCCAGCCAAAGAGTGATTTTAAACATACCTACATACCTACGAGGGGGGACAGGCTAGATCGTATTTAGTACAAGTCAGGTACGCCTAACCGCGTTTTTACACACAGACACACGCAGAGATAAGTACGATTTTAGAGTCCGGCATTCAGTCTTGCGCACAGTCACTGATAGCTTCACCTTTCGGGCTCACAATCACATATTTTGACAAACTGCGGACGAGTATAGAGGCAAGAGGTACAAAATCAATGTACTGCGACAAACGGGTCCAAGCTGAGCAGATTTGGTACGTTATCAGAGCCTGCATCCAGTTGGGGTTGACCAGTTTGTTTTGTCATTTAGTGGGCTCAAATACCATTTGCCACATAGAATATACAGTTGACCTCATTTTGCAAGCGTGGCCCGCGCATAGTAATTGTTGCACTGTGAGAGTCTTCGAAACCGGCGGTATCTCACTCATCGGTAACAAACCAAGCTTGGCAAGTTGTACGAGGCGCTACACGCCATGATGAATGCTCCTAGAATTGTGCTTGCAGCGCTTTGCAGTGCATGGACAACCCGTAGAATTGGCTCATCACATGCGATCAAGTCGTCCCCAAAAGTCCAATGAAGCGAAAGTGAGCAGCAACTACCCCATACCTTCTTACAGGCACATCACATCCTGGTTCTAATCTGCGTAGTCTTATCGGTCATTGAGGAAAATGCTGCAGACACGGCAGTTACAATGACTAGGAAAAATGCTGCAGCCACGATAGTTGTAGTGACTAGCCGTATCTGAGAGTACGACAGATCGGTTCTCGCGACCGACCTGTTTTGCGCTACACTGTATCACATCTAGCATTTAACGCGCCGAATGAAGATCCAGAGTTGCTACGCTCGGCGGTTTTGGACCTCGTTTAAAAGCACTGCTACCTTGAGCAAGGCACACGTAAAGTCGCAAAATGAAATTAGTATCGTAACGGTTTGCGACTGGCTAGCAAAGCGCTAATGCTGATACCGTTATTTCTAGCATTTTTCATCACATACACCGGATGAAGTCGGAAATTCCACGGCCGAAACAAACGACGAAACGCCTTTGTGCACAATGTTTGTAGGAACTAAACGTTTTGAAACGACGCCACCGTCTTCCGATTGCTCCGTGTTTCAATGTTATGCGAGCCTGTAGGACCTATCGAAACGGCGCCGGCGTCTCTCAATGTTCCCATGTTTCAAAGCTTTTGCGTACCTGTTGAATCGGCCATAACATGCTCCTCGTTTTCTAAATTCCAGCTGAATGTCTGTAACAGATTCAGTCATTTACCGAGCGCGAGTGAATATTATCCCTCCGATACTCATTTAGTTTTGGGACAGTATCGATTCGGTGCGAAAACTGATACAACAACGATTCGCACGCCTTTGAGCACGCCATGAACAACTGTAACGTTTCGTCACATCGTCTGATCGAACCACTTCAACATGGCCGAAACTCCCGTAAAACTAGTGCTATAGAGACAAATCACACGACTGTATGTCCGTACCGCCTAGGATAAATGATTGATAACTAAGCTGGAGATGCAAGATATACCGGCTAATAGTAGGGAACGTCCAGCGGTTATGACGTAGGCGAGGCGTCCGACTTCGACTACCAAAAGTGGCGAGTCTCATGGCCCGGATCGCGTTGAGCGCATGTCATTCCTCAACTTCCTCGCTCCGAGTAAATTACTTCACTCTCGTCTTCGCGCTCGTCTAACATGGTCTATGGGGTGCCTCGCTACCTCATTTTAGCAAATATAGCTCTTATGGCCGTGCAGCTGGAACGGACGACGGCCACGTCGCTCTACTACGGTCCTGTGACTACATCCAACACAACGGACGAGATCAGCAGCAAGTTTCCAGCCCGAGGAGCCGAAGTGGCCGACGAGGACTGCTCCATCACTGTCGAAGTGGACCCGACACTACCCGATATTTCTACCATCTTGACCGTCCCTGTGATCTATACGGACCTACTGGCCAATATGACGACGGCTCCAACGGAACCTCTTTCTACGAAGGTTGGCGTTGCTGTCCTCTCGGAAGATATTCCGACCGTCGAAGCTGACCAAGATGCGTACACGACCACAACCGACACGACGTCTAATATGTCGTCCAAGACGGGTCTACCAACCACGATTGACACTGTACCTACCACCGTGAACAAAGCGATAGAAGACAAGCTTAACTGTGCCACAAGATGGGGTGACTCGAGTCGAAAATTACAGGAGAAAAGTGACATTAAGCGGCGCCTTGAAGCGCACACGAACAAGGACATTGCCAAACTTGAGGCGCATTTTGGCACACCGATGGAAATGAAGCTGGCCAATCTGCCGGCTTCTGCTGTCCACGCAACGTCGCCATGGCCTGGTCCATATTGGCCTACGTACCAAGACAGCATAAATGCCATCTGGAGCCATGGACAGCCAAGTGCTGCTGAAAAATACGCGAAAGCTTTTAGATTGAACGTCCAGGACTTCATGAACAAAGTATCGGCCGACAATGGCATCGATTCGATGAGCAAGCGTGTCAAGTGCTTGTCACCCAACGACTGCTCGTCTCGGTCTGATGGTAGCGTTTGCGCAAAGCGTGCGGGGATGCAGTCGGGCTACTGCGTCCCGACTTGGTTTGGTATCTGCCACGCCTGGGCGCCCGCTGCTACAATCGAGGACGAACCGCGGTGTCCCGTGACGCACAATGGCGTGACATTTCAGCCGATCGACATCAAGGCTTTGATCTCGACCGTCTACGATGGCGCGTCGGTGCCTACTGTCTTTACTGGCACTCGGTTCAACGGCGGTCACGACTCGGAGGACAAGTACGGCCGGCACTCGAACGACGCCTATCGTGACCTGAATCCTGCCTTTTTCCACATCGCTACCACTAACATGTTGGGCAAGCTCAAGCAAACGTTCGTCGTTGATGTCACGGCTGGTACGGAGGTATGGAACCAGCCCGTTCGTGGGTTCAAAGTGTATGAGCAGACCAACATGTCGCTGGACGAAGCTGCAAAGACCTTCTACGGCCTCGGGGCATACCCGTGGAACGCCGCTACCAAGAGCATTGTGTATATTAAGATGCGTCTGTCATGGATCTTCGAGACTTACGACAACGGTGGTCTGGTGTCTTCTGGACAGGTAAACAAGTTCACCACAGGTGCTTACTACACGTATATCCTTGAGCTCGATAACAACGGAGTGATCATTGGTGGTGAGTGGGTGTACGAATCGGACAGCAACCATCCAGACTTTATTTGGTTCCCCAAGTCGAAGCCAGCGGCCAACTCTGTCACGAGCACGGGGCTGAAATACGCAGACGTGAGCATGCTTCTCAAACGGTCAGTTGCCTGCTCGGGTACTCCATCCGGGCACGAGTCATCCACTTTGTTCGATGACGCGACGTCCGCTTCGCTATTGAACTCTGCCTCAAATTCGAGTCGGACGGGTCCCACGAGTCTTCCACAAGTAAACCTGACTGAGTCAGCTCCGTCCGCAAGCTTATCGGGTTTAAACTTCGACAGTGCTGCTATAGTGGACCCTCCTGTCGAGCCTCCCATACCTGTAGACACGCCTGTGTCCATGTAGATAAGTGCGGTAGTTTGAGCCACTACCAATGGTACCATCGTCACCACGATGGCTGCTCCGTCGAGCAACTAGATCCACTCTCGCAAAGACGGACACAACAACCAACAGCGTAGGTGAAGAACGTCTAACCTGGAAGTCATGCATGTAAATATCGATAGCATGCTTAATACATTAAATAAACATAGACATGATTAGAAACATGGTGCACTGAGCACGAGGGCTGCAAGCTTTGGGTTTGTAATAAATATTATTAATGCAGCAATCAGTTAAGTTCCCCGTCAGGTGTAACCCCTCTCACGTTCGGAGGCAAATGTTTATTGTACAGGCGTGTGTGCTTGATCTTTTTGCAGACTGTACGTCAGCTGCTGTCAGGCTATCGATTTGCGTAGTTTTGTGCGAGCACCAGGTTGTGCCGGCCTCATACGTCGTGCTGATCAATTTCTGCAGGTGCGTTCGTCGTTGTTGCGAAACCCGAAAGATTATGATGAAGAGCATGTTGCGCTGAAAATGTATCCTGAGCTGTTCACGATCTAGGTTGAAAAATCAGCGCTGATATGCTCCAGCATCTAGAAACTTTGGCGTCCCATGTCCAAGGATCTTGACTACTCATCAATAGCAGCACGCTCTTCATTCGGCATAAGGCAGATCCCACCGCAGGTGGATTAGTTGGCTGATGTTCTACCTGTTAGCATTGCCAAATGGAACGGTCGCCACGAACGCATCAGAGTAACGAAAAAGGAAATTGTGATGCACTTGAACTGTATCATTCACGGTGCTGCTCTCAGCAAATGGCAGCAATCAGTCTGTGCACTAAGTTGACACAAGAGTCCAGGCGAAAGGATTCACGCGACCGAGGCACACAGTCGTGATGACCACGTGCAAAGAGTATGACATGATCACGCTGTTGTAGAGCTCACTGGGCTAAATTTTTATACAGCCGACGACAGCTGCAGCGCGAAAAGCAAATTGCCGTGCTTCGCACAATCAACCAAAGCTGTCCATGATACTGCTGTTCTGACTTTTCCGTGGCTGGACGCTAGCATGACTGACGTTTTTTTGTCTGGTCGTAGAAAACTCTCGACTAAGACAAAGGTATCTGTTTTTACAACCAAAAGTTGTATCCATGATATGCTCTTTATTGTACTTACGTTGTGAAGTGGCATTGTAACGATGTCGTTTGAAATGGGTTTTGTGCTATAAACTTTTCAATATTGAGTCAAGTGTAGTCAAACAGGTTGACGTGGATGGAACGATACGAAATGTTTGTGCTTGCTTGAAATAGGTCACGCTTAATCCATCGGTACTGTACTGCAATTGTACAGGCTCCTGGTGATCGTGACGACGGTGATGAATGGAGCAACGTCTAACCTTTCTTTTTCTTGTAATGGGTAAAATAAGAAGGACGTTCAAGCGGAGACGTCCCGTCCCCATTTGATTCGAACTGGCACCACAATAACCTGCCAAAGTCAAAGAACCGACGCGTTCAGCGGCTGTGCAATCGTCAATCCACACGTGTTTTGGAGTGGCGACCTATCTGCAAGTCTCTAGCGTCTGAAGTGAAAACGAGAGAGAAATAAACCTTGTTTTATAAAAGACAAAAGGATTGACAGGACAAAGAGGCGATAACACTGCTGATGTGGTGTGGCAGGAGAATAGGATATTGCAGGTACATGCATTTTATTGAATTTGATGACGACATAGAAAAAAAGCAGGGAATATGGAGCGCCTGGCGCGAGCACACAATGTGCGGATTAAAGAAGGCGTGCGGCGGGTTTTTGGTGTTTTATTGGTGCATGTAAATGTACAGGTGTAAGTGGCTGACGATGAACTTGTCAAAAGTATACAAGACTTAGATTCAAATGTCCTTGACAAGGCGTATGAAACGGCTGAAGTAACGGCTGACGACTTAGATGATGGGAAAAGCTTGACTCGATAATGGGAAGGGTTTATCAGAATGATAGGGCGCGGTGGACAGATTGATTAATAGCGAACTCAGGTAGTGAGGCAGTAAGCAGAAACAAAATTCCGGATCATTTTATCCCAGCGCTACAGACTTCCTCGACACGTCTACATACTCTTGTATGAGCGAAAAGGTTATGAGCCCAAGCGAGTCGTCTAACGACAAAAGAACGGCACAGGTCGCCAGCCACTAGTCACGAAAGGACTGCGCCGCATCCTGCCGTGGTCGTTTCTTTGTACGCTCACAAAAGGAGCGCGGACAATGATACGCTGCAAAAAAAGGCTCATAAGATGTTCAGCGGCATGGACACCCTACGAAGAAGATGGAGCTATCGCAGGCGAGGATTGACGAAGAAGAGAGCACGCGTGGAGCTGTTGAAAGCGGGTGATTTCATCAATGCTTGGAGCGGACTTGTCGGGCAAGCTTCACCGTGACACACTCGAAGGTTCGGACTTGCAAAGGAATCAAGCTCTGCGTTTGAGGATCGATCTTTAACGTACGCATCTCGCACGGCAACCGCTTTCCCGGAATCCAGCGTATCAAACTATGCCTATTCAGCAGCCAAAAGGACTACCAGCTGCGCCGATATAATCACCTTTTCAAACTCAGTTACGGACTCCTGACGTAAGGCAGCGCAAGCTCGCGACCCGCAAGTTCGACAGGACGGAAGTTTACGACGTCGGACTCGGGTCTGGCACTTCGACTGGAGAAATACTTTTGGCATCAGGTGGACATGACGCAGGAGTCGTGCGGTTTTCGGTGGACCGAGAACGATAAAACAGCGTTTTCGGCCAGTACCTTTCGGGCACGGCGAAACGCTACTTCAACAAGTGGGTTGACACGTGGTGGGACGTGCTGCCGACACTGCATTATGTGATGGAGCGCTTGTTTGACACGTTAAAAACGACCACCACCGTAGCCCAAGCAATGAAGCTGTTTAAGACGAAAAAGGATGTCAAGCGGTCGTGGCCAGATCGATATCTATACCTTATCGCAGTCAGCGATGCCGCTGACGGGTCTGAGCAGCAGCTTCTTCACAACATTGTGCGGTATTCTTCTTCCGAATTGTCGACGATACTGATGGCGATGTTTTAAACACACCGCGTTGACTACCTCGTGCACGCTGAAGAACTGGCGCACTTCGCGCAAGCAACTGAGTCGGAAGCTCGGCCAGGACGTCACTTTTGAAAGAAGGTTGTCGCACACGCAGGTGAGTCCGCGTCGTGAAAAAAACACGCACCGGCTACGGGTGTGGCAAGACACGACACGTCAAAGTCAACCTCGCAGCAAGAGGAATGGCACCACGAGGGGCGGACGTCGCGGTAAAAGGGATGGGAATATTGTGTTCGCGATAGGTAAATGCACCAGCTTAAAAGAAGGACTCTTGTCGTACCAAGTAGGACGTGGCCATGGAAAATGGCAGACATTAATTTTAGCGTCAGCGAATGGATCTTGCACAATGGAATCAGGCTTCATCTCGTCAATGACGTGACCCTGATTAAAGACATGCGAGAACGTGAACAAGAGTGCCATCTGGCTGACTGCAAAAAATACAAGCTGTCGTGTATAGGAAACGTGGTGATGACCGTGATGGAAATACAACAGCAGCAAGACACACACTAACTTAATTCCACCTCGCTCTTGAGCTCTCGCGAAACATCATTTCTTATGGCAAGCTCGAGAGCAAGGGGTTCGGACTTGTGTACGATGGTGCGAAGCGCGCTCTGGCGAGGAGAAGCGACTGCAAGGTAGTATTCGACATCTTGATGAAACATAACGTGTTGTATATTAAGACTGTGGCAACGGCGCACGACTCGCTCAAGGCAAGCGAACAAAGAAATCACAGTCGCGCATGGACACATATGCCTATTCTCGCATTCACCGCATGGAGGGGTGATCTACTCGGACCTTTAAGTCCCAATGACCCGGAGAGACCGCCTTGAAAACCGGTTCCGGGGTGAACTTCGTGAACCACAAGTCCAATGTTAGTCGTGTGTTCCTCGCTCCAGCGAAGGAAAAAGACGCAAAGAAGTTTGAACACTTCTTGGTGTTGTTCGAGCGTCAGTTTAAGTGCTGCATTTACGTGCTATGGACCGACGGCGGGGGTAACTACGCAAAAGTCGACCTCTTGTGCAAGTCGACTGGAGTTAAAAGAAAGGTCAGCGGGGCACGCAACCAAGCGTCGAACGGCAAATCCCAGCGTATGCACCGTACGGTGGTGAACATGGCTCGCTTGATGATCTATACAAAACGACTACTCTTTTCGTTTTGGTAAGATGCGGTTGCGTCGGCCGCATACATCCTCAATCGCAGCCCTACCAGTGTAAACGAGAAACATGCGTCTGCTTTTGAAGTGCTGACGAAGTGCGCCCCCGACTTGCGAGAAATCGTAGCTTTTTGGGTCGGTCTGATCCGTCTACTGCGAACCGCGCAAGAACTCGCTGATGCAGCAATTGCAAGTTGCTGTAGTCATCGGGTGCAGTGATGAAACAAAAGGCTACCGAGAACTTTTCATGAAAAGAAAACATTGGCACGGCCACGCGACACTCTCAGGATATTGAAACCCTTAGTGCTGCACAGTTTGGTCATCTTGAGCGCGCACTTGAACATAGTGTTAAATCAAATAGGACAGTGGCTGGGATCTCAATGATAGCAGACGCGGTTCCGGCTGCAAAAATACAAATCGGAAACAAAAAGCCGAAGTCATGGATGCGAGAGAAATACAGGATGCGTGGCACGACGAAGTGTGCTCAAGCATCCGATGTTCAAGAGGAGCCACCATATGGTGAAAATGTGGTGGCCCATGTGTACATAAACAATTCCAAGAATTACAGGGAAGAGATGCGCAGCTTAAATTTAGAAGGCTGGTAGAAAGCCATGCATGTAAAGCTTGAAGCACTTGAAGACAACGGCGTGTGACACTTTGTTAAGAGGCCTCCCAACAGCAACGCACCGCACACATATAGGTCTATAAAACAAAGACTGACTCTCACAGTGATCTCGAACGACTAAAGGCTTGACTTGTCGCATGAGGAAATGAGCAGGATTTTGGTGTTAATTACCAGCTCACACTTGCGGCGTTCATGGACATGTCCACCGTAAAGGTACTTCTCGCGCTGGCGGCGACATGGGGTGTACATGCGAAGCACGGCGACATGCCGAACGCATATGTAAAGACGGACAAGGAACATCACCTGGAAATACTTCTTCCGATTTTGCAAGTTATGCAGATCGACGAAGTGATGCAAAGAAAATTTGGTGCGGAAACTAGAAAGAGCTGACACTCGAGCTGTGCAGAAGCCTGTACGGCCTCAAGCAAGCTAGTCGACCGTAGAGTCAACTCGTGCATGCAAAGCTGCTCGATGCAGGATTCAATCAGTGCGTGGCCAATATGTGCCTCCGCCGGAGTGAGACGGAAAGGAAACCATCGTGGTGGGCGTCTAGGTTGACTATCTGCTTGCCTCAGGCACCAGTGCAGCTGCGGTCAATCTTTTCTTTGTCAGCCTCGCAACCTTATCGATTAAGGAACTTGGTCGCGTGAATAAATTGCTCGGGGTGAGGGTGACGCTGGAAGATGACGGAGGCTGCAAGTTATGCAAGGATGAGAAGATTGTTATTTGTTGCGTGAGCATGGGCTTACGGACGCAAACTCGACGCTCGCTACGATCGGAGCCGATTGCTACGAAGTGCAGCCTGTAGACGGTGCGTTGCTCACGGTCACGAGTACTAATGGACGTGAAACGATCAAGATCTTCCATTCGCTCGTTGGCTCACTACTTTAGGTATCGCGGTGCACGCAACCTGACATTGCGTTTGCAGTTCACAAATCAACTCATAAGGCTCACCAACCGCGGCTTCACGACTGGAAGCTTGCGAAACGGGTGTCACACTACCTGAAAGGTACTAAGAAGATGAAGATCAGCATGATGCCGACTTTTTTGCCGACAAAACGGACCGGAAGTCGTTGACGGGCGGAGTTCTCCTTCTCAATGGCATGGCCGTCAGCTGGACTGCCAAGAAACAAGGCGGTGTCTCTTTTCACAATGGATGACGACTCTGTTGCCGACAAAACGGACCGGAAGTCGCTGATAAGCGGAGTGATTTTTCTTAATGACATGGCCGTCAGCTGGACTGCCAAGGAACAAGGCAGTGTCTCTCCACAATGAAAGCCGAGCTTGTGGTACCGTCGGAGGTTGCTCGCGAGATGCTGGGTTTACGCGAAATGATTAACGAGATTGGAACGGCACTGGAGATGCCAATGGTGATGCGCATCGACAACCAAGCGGCCATCCGACATCTCGAAGGTGAAATTTCGTCACTCAAGGCGAAGCACATCGATGTTCGAGTCAAGTTTGTGTGCGATTTTGCTCGGCGCAGAATTGTGATCGTATAATATGTGAGTTCGGAGCTAATGCTTGCTGATTTGTTCACGAAGGCACTCGACCTGCACAACCTGAAGACATTGCGCGGTTTGATACCCTCAACTAGGAAGGTAAGTCGTACCCTAAGATGAGTGTAAGAAGTAGATGATACTTAGATTCAAATGTCCTTGACAAGGCGTATAAAACGGCTGACGACTTAGATGATGGGAAAAGCTAGACTCGATAATGGGAAGGGTTTGACAGAATGATGGGAAGGGTTTGACAGATTGATAAGAAGTGGTTGACAGAACGATGGATAGCTAATTCAAGTAGTGAGGCAGTAAGCAGGAATACTATCCTAGAATCATTTTATCCTAGCACTGCAGAATTCCTCGACACGTCTATCTACTCTCGTATGAACGAACAGGACTTGGCTACGCAGGAGCTGCAAGACGTGCTACTGAAGATGCGTAGGCTTGTCCAGCGTGGTGAAACGCTCAAGCAGGTGCAAGTGATTGCTGGCTGCTGGACAATTGTAGTTCAATTAATTCTTGGATTTTGGTTGGGTGATGGACAGTTCCAAGAGTCGCCACTGGTGGCCAAGCTGCGCTCCCCCATGCAACTTCATGGTCTAAGCAATTTAAGCTATAATATGCCAATGACAACGATGCAGAGGTGCTATAGGCTCCGCATGTGTAGGAGATTGCAATGGACTAGGTGAGTAGTCTTCATCTCTTCTTTTTTCTGTTGAATTGATTGTAGTTGGTAGGTATTGCGACGAAGTCTAAAAGTCATCCATACGTTGTTATGTGAATATTGACGCAATCCAGCCGACCTGAATGGTATCAAGAATCAGGTGGCGCGACCTGCGAGAGGAAGTACCGCCCTTGTGACGTTGATTACGCGAGTAAGTGCTGTAAAAAACCTGATGAGCACGAGGCGATCTCCAGTGAATTTTCTGTGAATTTACGCTTTACAGCTTTAAGATTCAAATTATGGCCTAGGAATTCTTTTGAATTTGTAATCCGGGTAGACGCGGCACCAAAGCAAGCAATCGGGTCTTGTATCGTCTATTTGTAACTCCAGAAAGATTAGACCGTGTGTAACAACTGCCAGAGCTCATTCCATATTGATTGTGTCGTACGTAAAGAAAAAGTGATGTCTGGATTTAGAAAATGATCATTTATACTCTGGAAGTAGACAAGGTATTTTAAGACAAAACAAAAGATCGGGCGCCACCAATAAACGTCAACGTCTGATTTTCCTAACAAGATATCTGCGGAGTTAGCTGCAAACCAGAATTCTTCACTATTCTCAATTAAGTTTCTCATTTATGCCCATAAAAAAAAACAGGCCTGCCAAAAGCTGAGTTTAAGATCTACGTGTGCATAAATGGCTGTGCTTTTAAATATGCAAATTTTTATAATACGAGAAGGTACCCCCGTGTTTGGCATGAGTGCTCTCGCTTCTGCCAAATGCGACTAGATAAACCGATCAATTCATGACGGAATAGGAGCTTTTTCATTGGGTTTCCATAGACACTCAACCAAGTTTGATCGCCCGTAGTTGATTGATCAAGATAGTTTTGTTTTCAAGCACAATGGCTGCACACACCTCCATGGCAATCAGGATATGAAACCCCCACAAGTGATACATGCGACGTTAAAGGCACATCTATAAGCAAAAATTGTCAGGATTGGTCAAATACTAGCACCCCGAAAATAGTACAATTTGTTCTAATTAAGTTTCGATTAGGGCTCCAGCTCGCGGAGTCTAATGCCATCCATCCCGCGTAGCGTGGCTACGGATGAAAGAATATCTGATTAGTAGCTTACAGCGTTTAAAATGTAGTAGAATTTTTTTACAAGTGTACATTATAATCTTTATCTTTTGGTCCAGGCGAAAAAATGTGTAGAAAATCGAATTGGTCTCAAATTAAATAGGAGAGCAGTCTCTGGAGCTCGCCATTTGATATAAGCGATCAGTTCATCGGACCGAATCAAGTTGAAAACGCTATAAAACAGCAGCATCGCTGAAGAAAGAGTGTGATGCTGCTAATGTCTATAGAACCCAGCACAAAATGCTAGAGCAACGCGATCAGTCTTTGCTTATGAGCGTCGAGCATTTGCATGTGTGATCATATTCACCTCTGATCGAAATTGAGCCAATCGCTTGGGTGCGCCAGAATATTGACCTAGCCAAATAGTGTTTTTAATAATACCTTTATACCTACGAGGGGGGAAAGGCTAGATCGTATTTAGTACGAGTCAGGTACACCTAGCTGCGTCATTTACAGACACACACAGACACACAGACAGATAAGTACGATTTAAGAGTCCGGCGTTCAGTCTTGCGCACACTCACGTATAGATTCACCCTTCGGGCTCGCAATAATATAAAAACACTTCTCAGGATCGGGCAAAACCGTGTGTCTGACCATAATAACGAACACAGGTTTTGATACAATCGCTCGCACTCATCTTTACAAATGTCACAGGAAAAGATAGTAGCTATCCTCTATAAAAAAACAGATTATTATTATAAATGTACGACATATTTTACAGTTTACCACAGTCATAAAACACTACCGAATCTGGATCACTGCATCCCTTCGTTTGCTCCATTTAGTAGAAATACTTGAGATCATTGTGTATGAGCTGCCTCTGGCATTGTCTTAAAGAGATGCCTACTGAGGGAATGGCTGCCAGGTAGTTAGGTCATGCGAAAAAGCCTGGTGCACCACTTATAAGTTTAGTAGTACCTAGGGAACCATGTGCATTTCTTGCCACCCGCTGGATTCTCATAGGATCATCACGTCCAGTGTACCTTCCGACAATGGTCAGCTTGCATTTTGTTTCAAGCTGAGCGTCGTCAAGGAAGGAAAAATTAGTGTGCTGTACATGTCTCTCCCCGCTTTCCCTTTCTGATATTTTTTTATCCACAATTCTTTAAAATTGTACTATTTCTGCTTTTAATTTCATCATTATTTATCGTTAGGTTGACCGTTAGTCGGAGCTTTGCCGTACCCGATTGTGTGGAAAAGTGACTGGAACGGATATAGACAATTTCGTGCAAGGTGACATAGCAAAATTCACGTTCCCCAGCGAAGCCCTGAAACACCCTTTTTTGGTGAATTTGAGCTGGGAAGGGTGAAAAGCGATCTCTCGACTTAAATTAAAGTTGATTAAGTGCAGGTGTAAATTTGAGATTTACGTAAAATTACAACGGTCAAATGCCCAGGGTGAGGTACTGGAAAATTCCACAATCTGCGACCTACGTTTCAGGATCGTGAAGGACGCCAGATGTATAATTACGGAAGTAACACATTGCAAATTAAATGATCTGCCGTGACACGAACCAATCTCAAATATGCGTGGAATGTCTGTTTGAAGTGGGGAAGAAAACTAGATGGACTACATGCCAAACTCCTTTACTATGCGAAGGAGGGGTGCAAGATGTTGTGTAGACTACATTATCAGTGCGAACCACATAACGAGCGTACCCAGCTTTAGAGGTGTAGACTGTATGCCACGATACGCAATCCACTGTCTGATATCCTGCTACGAATGTTTGCAAGATGTTGTGTGTACTACACGATTGGTGTGTATACCCCATAACGCGTCTGTACCACTAGATGGCTCTGAACTAAATTTTGTGATCTGCAACCCAAACTTTGCAATCCAGCTATTTATGCGTTTGATGTAAACAGCAGGGCACTAGAAGACGACTATCACTATGCGGCGACTCTTTGCATCAAATCTTAAGACATAGATATGTTTTAGGATAAGTTTCTAATTTAACAGGTTTACGTAGATTAGAGATCATATTACTTTCTACAGACTAGTGTAGACTTCTTATCCGGACTGGATAGTTGGACTTTCGATGTTCAGGAAGGTCTTCGAACCTTATCAATTGATATCCTTTGACTGATTCGATGAAAATAAAGAAATACCATCAACTCCCAGCTGCGATCGGGCGCAACTTCAAAGTAAATATAAAGGTGCAAGATCGCCAGACTGCCCAAGTGATCAGAAGAAATTAGATTCAAGCGTCGACTTCGGACAAAAAGATTTTGCTAAGATCAGGTGATTCATACTAAGCAGATACACCCTGATCGTGTAAAGATTTCTACGCGAATACCCAGACGCTGTCCCAAAACGTTCGAGTCTTACTGCACGAGAGTTTGTAGAAGAGATTCGATTTGTCCTATTTTTGGGTACACAAGGTAAGAAAGAAGTAAGCACGGAAATGAAGTTTCCCATCCTATCGTAGGTATTCTAGTCTCTAGCGGAGAGTGGGGTCACATCAGGATACAAGCGATTGCCGCTTCACTACACTGGTGCAAATGTCCGGATCTTCAGGTGACTCGAGACTTTAGATTGAATCCCTGAATGAAATTAAGGTATGTAATCTTAGACGGCACCCCCGGGATGATGCTTCAGAGGCAAAGTTATATCCGCAGAAGTATCAATCTAGTAATTTGGGATTATCAGAGTTTTGATAGGGACTGATGATGAAATATTTTAAAACGAAGATTGACCTCTCTGAAAGAATACTCAATACCTCATCCATAGACCCTTCATGGACCACTGCGTTTCTTGCTGAAAATGCACGATTATCCAGGAGATGATTATATAGGCGAAATCGACGAAGATTTTCTAAGACAACTCCCACAAGTTCGAGTACAAAAATCAGAAGACTGCACGAGTGGAAAAAAGTAGCGCCTTGACCGGATCAACACGATTGCGCTATAAGCCGGATCGATGAACCGATCAATTTTGCGGAGGATGATGTGAAGGTAGGAGATGGATACTGGCTATTGGTCCGACTAGCAACTAAGCGTCCTTCTCAAATGCTCAAAACTTGGTGTTAAGTAATCCAGTGCTCCATATAATGAATCCAACATTGATGGGAGCAATCGGAGGTCCCACATTAACTACAGTCTAAGCGCTAAACGCACTGTACAGAATTGATGGTATCATACAGCTTTTGCACGATGCTGTGATCGCCGTAGGAGTGTTTGACGCGAGTAAAATGTTGGAGTGTGAAAAGATCACGTATTTCACGCTTTTCGATCGCTACGTAGAAAGTTTGTTCCCTTGATAAGTGGGCGCGAATTCACGATCCAAGCCAACACGGTGATCACGGATTTTTCAAGAGGATTCCATAGCCACAACGCATTATGCCTCAGGTAAATCTTAAATAGAGTCTATAGACTTGATCGGCATTCAGCGGACACCTCTAGGTTTAATGGGGGCGGAAAATTTGCGCGATCACGTAGCGATGATCAATAAAGAACCGCTATCGACTACAGTACGCGCCAAATGAGAATGAATTTGACCACTTCAGGATACATACAGTCGTTTTTTTGTTTTTTTTTCATGGAAGGATATTTGACAAGAGCAACGAAATTGATCCCATACTGAGATATATGCACTTTAAAGGATCGAGACATAAGATTTTGGGATACACAGACCAATAATCGAGGTGGAAATGGTTATATTGCACCGCTATCGATCCGATATCTGCGATCCTGAAGATGGCAATCTTTACGACTTTGAGATCTCAAGATTTGGTCGATACATTCCGCGGAAATCTAACCTATTGGTGGATCGCGTTCCCCAAAGTATTTGTGTCTAGCGCTAATAAAGATGTAGAAAATGTAATGGCAGCGACAAATACTAAGACCGATTTAGAAGCTGTAAGTACAGGATCCTGTCGGCGTTCCTGCGTAAAAAATGTTTGGGTGAAGATGTACTGGAGCTACACAGATCTTAGTCAGACGATGACTTATGACTCTGGAAGTCACCAAGTTCTACGGAACTAAGTGTCTGTAAATTATAAGTGTCTCTCGTCCTTGTTACTAGTGCACAAAAACTCTAACTTCTTACGCTCGCAGAGCTGCTGGACCTAGTTTAAAGGACTAAGAAATTTTCTCTGGAATCGCTCTCACAAGGCGCTGTATAGGTAGAGTCACAAGATGGCTCCAACTATCTGTGATCTGCTGACGTCTAAAGTAAACACGTGGCAACAAAACGATCGCAAGGAAAACTAAACTTTTATTTCGTTTTTCTGGTCCA